CACACAACAAGATTTTGCCTCAAAAGGAAAAAAAACTAATTGAACTTACTATCTCTAGAGAAGCTATACAACTAGCTGGTAAGTACCTGAAAAATTACTCAGTATCATTATTCATCAGGAAATTATATAAAAATCTCCACTGGATATTACTACTGGGCCTGGTGGCACATGCCTTTAATCCCTCATCAGGAAGAGGCAGGCAGATCTCTCTGAGTTCAACGCCAGCCTGGTCTATTTGGTGAGTTCTATGACAGTGAGGGCTACATAGTGAGACTGTCTCAAAAACAAACAAAAAACCAAAACAACCCTCCCCCTAAATCCCCCCCAAACAACCAAACCAAACCAAACCAAACCAAACCAGTAGGATACTATTTAGACCCAGTGGGATGATTAAAATAAAAATGCCACTCATTGGTGAGAATTGACTGGGATGTGGAAAAATTATAATCCTCATACATTGCTGAAAGAAATATAAATGTAAATGGTACAGCCATGTGAGAACATAGATTGAGGTAGTTCCTCAAAAAGCTAAACATAGAGCCACCATATGATTCCCAGATATACACCTAGTAGAATGGAAAATGTACATCCATACAAAACCTTGCACATGAATGTTCATAGCAACGTTATTCAGAATAGCTGACAAATGGAAGTAATCAGCTTTGCCCATCAATAATGGGCAAACAAAATGCTGGGTATCCAAACAATGGAATATTTCCAGCCATAAAAAGGGTTGTGGCTTCATGCTACAGTGTGGACAAACCTCAACAACATTATGTTAAATGAAAGAAGTGAGGTGCAAAAGACCACACATTGTAGGATTCCATTTATAGTAAATTTCCAGAATAAAAAGCATCAAAGACATGGAAGTAGTGGGTAGTTTCTAGGTGCTGGAAGAGTGGGAACCATTCCCCAGTGGTTACTAATGGGTTCAGGGTTTCTTTTGGGGGTGATAAAATGTTTAGAGAAGGGGGATGGTTATACAAGCTTGTGTGAATAGGTTAAAACCAACTGACTTGTATAAAAAGGTGAATTTTATGATATGTGCTTTATGTATCACGCATTGCATAATGATGTTTCAGTTATTCATGAGTCATATATTCAATGATTGTCCCTTAAGATTATATCACCTAGGGCAGGTAAGATAGCTCAGCAGGTAAAGAGCTTGCTGTGCAAGTTTGGTGACCCGAGTTTCAGTTTGATCCTTGGAACCCACATGGTTGAATGAGAGGACCAAATCCCTCCTTCCCTCCCTTCCTCCCTTCCTTTGTTTTTCTTTCTCTCTTTTCTTTTTTTGTACTGGGCATTGAATCTTGTGTCTACAAAGCAAGCACTGCACTACTGAGTTCCATGCCCAGTCCATGGCCCCCTACTTAAAAAAAAAACACTTTATTTCGAGACAGGGTCCTACTATGTTGCCCAGGCCTTGGACTTGTGATCCTCTTGCCTCAACCTGCTGAGAATACAGGTCTGCAGCCGGGATTGCAGGCCTGTGCTGATTGTCAGGCTCATAACAGCTAATATTTTTGATCTAGTGATAAGGAATATTGTTTTTGCTGAAAATAAACTTGCAGTGTCCTACCTACTCACTGGCCTGTTAATCTCTTGAAATTAGTCAATTGATCTTCCAGGATAATAGGAGAAGTTTGGGTTTTGGACAGAGGTTCAGAATAAAGTCAACTCTTGACTTCTTTGTCACTTGTGCGATCCCTGTGTCCTTTGTAACCTCATTTCCCACTATTCTGTGTGTTTACCTACCTCTGTTCTCCAAGTGATCCAATCACTCAAATTTGTCAATGCTCCATTTCTCTCTCCTTCCCTTCCCTTCCTTTCCCTTCCCTTCCCTTCCTCCCTCCCTCCATCCCTCCTTTGCTTTTTTGGATACAGGGTCTTGTTATGTAGTCCAAGGTGACCTTCACCTTGAAGCAATTCTCTCATCATAGCCTTCTGAGCATCAACCACAACACCTGACTGGCTTGCCCCTCTGTTCTCTTCTTCCCTCTTCC